GATGAAGCTCGCAGGTTTGAAATCGATCGAGAACGCTCATGAAGATTCCGTTTGGGCAGCGACTTGGGTTCCGGCGACGGAAGATAGATCGGCTTTGCTTCTGACTGGATCTCTAGACGAGACGGTGAAGTTATGGAGACCGGACGAGCTAGATCTTGTTCGGACCAATACCGGACACTCTTTGGGAGTAGCAGCTGTAGCGGCGCATCCTTCTGGGATTATTGCAGCATCTTCTTCGCTCGATTGCTTTGTCCGTGTCTTCGATGTTGACACTAATGCCACTATTTCTGTTTTGGAAGCTCCTCCTTCTGAGGTTTGGGGATTGCAATTTGAACCTAAGGTAATTTTGCTTACTCCGAATCGGTAGAACTAAAAGTCTCCGTTTTTAGGGTTTTGAAGGATTTGGGTTGTTTTCTGGTGGGAAAATTTGATTGCTTTCAGGGAATTTTCACTTACTTAGCTGCAAATCTTCAAATTAATGCTTAGAAAGTACTTGGATTGTTGAGCTCGTTTGAATTTGTACCTCTGATCGTATAGGAACTTGAGTGTCATATACTGTGGTTCATAGTAGTGGAATAACTTTTATTGGTGCTTTGGTGAAACATCTTGATTTGGTGAAACATCTTGATTTGGTTAGTGGTTTGCTTGTGGCCGTTTTCTGTATAAGCCATGACTTTGTTTTCACTGATAAATGTAATACACTAAATTACCAATAGATGATTACATGAACGAAATAGAATCTGTTTGAAAATCTGATCAGGTTGGAAAGTTCTTTCGTCATTCTTTTCTTGCTAAATGTGATTCCGTATTTAGGTGCTTTGGTACATTGTTTGATTTAACAAGCTGTCATCTGACATTTGTCACTACAACAAAGCGAAATCGAACTGGTGATCGCTGTCTTATATTTCTGGTTTTAATGCAATGATATCTTTGATCCACTTACCTTTCTTGGCCAGTGTCATGTTTGAGCAGATTACTGTAACCTATCGATCAGGTCTAGAGATAACTTATTGGCAATATACTCATCTATGCTTATGGATTAGTTTGCAGTCAAGCTTTTAGTTGCTTCTAAGCTGATTTTACATAATTTCAACATCACTCTTCAGAGTAATGCTCTGTTGCTATGTGCTAACATATTCATTTACATTTTCCAAGGGTACCCTCCTTGCTGTCGCAGGGGGAAGTAGTGCCTCGGTCAAGCTTTGGGACACTGCAAGCTGGCGATTAGTCTCAACTCTATCAATTCCACGTCCAGAAGCACCAAAACCTTCTGATAAAACCAGCAGCAAGAAATTTGTTCTCTCAGTGGCTTGGTCTCCTAACGGGAAACGACTAGCCTGTGGTTCGATGGATGGCACGATCTGTGTCTTTGATGTTGACCGCTCAAAGCTTCTTCACCAGCTAGAAGGTCACAACATGCCTGTAAGGTCCCTTGTGTTCTCCCCTGTAGACCCGAGAGTCCTCTTCTCCGGATCAGATGATGGGCATGTGAACATGCACGATGCAGAAGGGAAAACGCTGGTGGGATCCATGTCGGGGCACACGAGCTGGGTGCTGAGCGTTGATGCTAGTCCAGAAGGTGGAGCCATAGCAACGGGCTCGAGCGATAGAACTGTGAAGCTGTGGGATCTTAAGATGAGAGCGGCGATTCAGACAATGAGCAACCACAATGACCAGGTTTGGTCTGTGGCGTTTAGACCACCTGGTGGAACCGGTGTCCGGGCTGGTAGACTCGCTAGTGTCTCTGACGACAAGAGTGTATCGCTCTATGATTATTCATGAGAAAAACTTTGTTTTTTTTTCTTTCTATTTATGCATTCTCCAAGACGCATCTTAGTTTCCGAGGATTCTTTGTAAACATTAGTTGTAACAATACATTTTCTGCAACAGGTTTCTTCTGTTTGTTAAAAGATTTTTGACTGGAGACTTTAGATAAAGCACCCACATAAAAAAAAGAAGAGAGAAAATGGTTCAAACTTCGCATTAGAACTTATTGGAAAACTGAGAAAAAAGATAAAAGATCACAGAAAGAAGAGCGTTAAGGAGAGTACACAAAACACAAGTCTAAAAGTTTTGAAAAAGAAAGAAAGAAAATGGTCTTGTTTCTTATGACCTAAGTGTATTACTTCCTAAGTAATTCCTGAGAACATCCATAACAGCTCCGAAATCTGCTTTCACTTCAACAGGAGGATTGGAGAATCTGCAAGCCATGTCAGGGATGGCTTTCGAGTGATAATCTATCTTAGACTGAGTAAACTTCAACCCATGAGCAGTACTCACAACCACAGTTCGATCAGTCGGTGCAATCACTCCTTGTTTCCTCAGCTTGAACAGAGCGGTTAGAGCCACACCTGTATGTGGACAGATAAACATTCCTGTCGAATCCGCTTGTGCCATTGCGTCCATCAGCTCTTCCTCTGTTGCTTCTTCTACAATGCCGTTGCACTTCTTGAGAGCGTACACAGCTCTATCGATGGATACCGGATCACCGATCTGAATCGCAGAGGCGAAAGTAGTACTTGCAGTCATGGGCTTGAAGTCCTTCCAACCAGACTTGTAGTGCAAGTAAAGAGGATTAGCATTAGCTGCTTGTGCACAGACCAGCCTCGGAATCCTATCGACAAGTCCCAGTTCTTGACACATCTTGAATCCTTTGTAAAAAGCGTAGATGTTTCCGAGGTTGCCTCCAGGAACAATCACCCAATCCGGAACTTCCCAATCAAACTGCTGCAGAATCTCTATAGCTGCAGTTTTCTGCCCTTCTAACCTCAGACTATTCAACGAATTGGCCAAGTAAATCGGCAACTCCGCTGTAATCTCCCTAATCAGCTTCATACAACCATCAAAATCAGTGTCAATGCTAAGAACAAACGCACCGTTCGCTATCGGTTGAACAAGCTGAGCCATTGAGATCTTGTTTGCAGGTAAGAACACGATCGATGGGATTCCGGCAGAGGCGCAATAAGCAGATAGAGCAGCGGAAGTATCTCCGGTGGAAGCACATCCAACACCAACCACAGGTCGTTTCATCTTTCTCAAACGATTAACTTGACTAACCAAAACAGTCATTCCAAGATCCTTGAAACTTCCGGTATGACTAATCCCACAATGTTTCACCCACAGATCGTTCATATCTAGAAACTTTTTACCAAACCTCTCTGCCCAGAACAGATTCGAGTTACCTTCAAAAGCCGAAACGATATCATCGTCATCGATCTCGGGAAGAACCCACTCTTTCTTCGACCATACACCGGATCCATACGGCCATGTGCTTTTACCGACTCGAGAATCGAAGAGATCTCGCCAATACGCACCATCGAATCGCTTCAAAGCCTCCATATCGTGCTCAACATCAAGCAAACCACCGGAGCGGCTACGGTACACGATCTCGTCTAGAGAGTAATACTCGTTGGATCCAGGTGCCGCATTGAAAGGAACATACCTAGCTGAAAACGGATTCACGGCGGTTGAACGGTGGCGACGAGCCTCATCACGAATGTTATCCTCAGTACGGCGAGGCTTGACGGCAGTCTCGATCGGAACGTTAGAGTTGTTGTTTCCATCGGCGGTTTTCGCGGAGGAGGTACAGGAGACGACGACGGGGCGGTGACGGAGGAGAGAAGCGGAGGAGCGGTGGCGGCGGATTGGGTCTTGTTTAGGGTTTAGGGAAGATACAGAGGCATTGAAGAGACAAGAGGAAGCCATTTTTTTTAGAGATAGAAAGAGTAAGAAGTGAGATGCGGCTGAGAGGATTTTGAGACACGGGGGGGAGAGAAAGAGAAGACTAAATCGGTTTTCTGTTATAAACCGGAAATGTTTTAGAACCGGGTATTCGGTTTAGGCTTTTAGGTCTCCATATATTATATGACGTTGAGATCTTTTGGGCCCATGAAACCATTCAAGTATCTGGATCCTTTTGTAGATTTGTCACGTTTGATTTTATCAGGTTAATAAAGTTCATATAATTATCTATATACACTTTGACCAAAAAGGAAATAGCTCAATTTTGCGCATTCACGTTTGAGAAAGGAACCACAATCTTTGATTTTGATGTAACAATATCCGTCACCACATCATATATCCAAATTCAAAACTACAAAAAAATCAATTGTTATCAAAACGGTATGCTCCTTATCGCTGCGTAGAGCTCTCAAATGGTCATGTCCACGTGGACATTTTCTCTTGTGGACAAATCATAACCACAACCAGTAACGACCATGACCAATAACGACCGTGACCAATAACAACCATATTCAAATAGTTTGGCCATGAAAATCCACTTGTATATATTTCAGATAATTTGAATATGTTTAATTCACTTGTTTATGTTCCTTGACAATTAATCATCAAAAAACAAAA